TTTTTCAAAGATAGTTTTCTGTTTTTTTTTTTTTTTTTTACTGCTAAGGAACATTTCTTGCAACGTTTACAGGTCAAACTTTTGCATATATAACATATATTTCTTTTTTTTCCATCAACTAACTCATTCACTCTCATTTTAATAGATTAATGCCTGTTTCATTTAGCTGATAGAGGGTTAACATTCTCAGTATTTCTGTTGTATGTATGTGTCTAAGTGTGTGTGTATGAATATGTGTATAGGTTACTGTAAATGTGTTTATATTTGTGTAATTCGATTTGTTTAGTTGATTTATTTGTCTCTTAAGAGGTGAGGTCCCTTGTATAAGCCTGTTGGCTTCTTGACCTCTCCTGACACACCTTTTATGTTTTTGTTAATCCTATTTTGATGCATTCTTATATGTGTGCTAATAAATAAATAAATAAATAAATAAATAAAACAAGGAAGTCAAGAAAGCCCAACTGGCTACAGAGAGCCTAAAGAGACATAGGATGAAAACATACAAACAAAAAGTCTCTGGTGCGCATCAGAAACTAGAAAGTATCGCCTGTGCATTTGAAACCCTGTGAGATATCTCCAGCTGACAGAAGACCACTGAGCTCATCCGATGAGACAGCACGGAAGAAAAACTTTCTTGTGTTCATGTCGCAACACTTTCTAGTTGGTATGCAACATCTTCTCGTGAGCACAGGAAACTTACCCATGTTCAGGGTAGAGTTTGTGGTGTGCATGAGATAATTTTCCTGACCATGTCCTTTTAGGGGTCTGCATAAAAACCTAATGCATACAGTCATGTGTATATATAATTAATAATTTATATAATCATCATAAGGATAATGGCAGTTAGGGTCTACTCAATGAAATTTGCCACATAAGTTAGAGGAGGGGATGCACGGTGGTGAAGTGGTAAACGCTGCTACAGCAAAAAGGTTCCTGGTTTGAATCCCCGTCTGACAGGAGTCTCTCTGTGTGGAGTCTGCATGTTCTCCCTGTGCATGTGTGGCTTCTCTCAGGCTTCCTCCCACAGTCCAAAGACATGCTCGTTATGTTAACTGGTGACTCTAAATTGCCAGTAGGTGTGAATGTGAATGTGGCTGGTTGTCTGTCTCTATATGTCAGAGCCTGTGATTGGCTGGTAAAAAGTCCAAGGGTGTACCCTGACTTTCTCCCAATGACAGCTGGGGTCAGTTACCCCCCCCCACGACCCTAAACAGGAAAGCTCTATGGGGAGACAACTCATGTCTGAATGTTAAGTTAATGTGATGCTTGTCAGTAAATCTCACAGCTATCTGATTTAACTACAAAAACACATGTTTTTCACTCTTATTGTGTCTTTATTTCATCGTCATTGTGATGCATGTTGCTTTCTTGTCACCAGCTGCATTATTGTTTTTCCCTCTTCTTGGCTAACTTGTTCAAAAACACACTGACACATTCTGGCAAGATTATGGACCTTAATCTGTCATTTTTTTCCAAGCCTGGAAAGCATCACATGTATTTATTCGTTCATTCCCTGACCACATTAAACTGCAGACAGCCCTTCTTCCACACTCACAGCCTGCCTCCACATCAGGGACCTTCTCAGCACCTTAAGGAAACATTATTCTTTTAGTTAAACCTGTTGAACTATTGACTCCATTTAATCACTCTGCCATAGTTCCTGCTGTATAAAAGGTCTTGCTCTGGATGTAGTACCTCCTAATGACTGGAAGTATGTGGGCAGAGGTTAAAGTTTGCAACATGTGCACATACGGTATTAAAGGAAACCCATCCAGTCTGTTTGTTTGTGGTCTGCATAAGTCTTACATCAAAGAGAAAAATGCTCCGTTTCAAATGTGCTCTCCTTGTGATGTCACAGTGGGATTCTGGTAAAAAAAAAATCCCCTCCCCTCCCCTGGAATCTCCACCCACGGACTCCACCCCCAGCCTAGAGCAAAACATTTCCGCAGGTCCGACATTTTTATTCTCGCTACAGAGGAGTGATGTCTTCTGGGAAAACTCGGGGGGAGGGGGGGGCTCATTGCATTTAAAGAGACACACACACCAAAACGGAGCGTTCCGAGAGAGCTGGTTTATCACCTGAAGAAGCATGTGCGTTCATAGCACATTAAGCAGAATGACTCGTATGTGGAGCTGCTAAGAGATGAACCCTACCTTGGGGACATCGATGGCGACCTCCCTCATGGCGCTTGGCTTCACGACAGACATCGCCCACTGGAGGTCCTGCAGAGTGACGGTCACCGTCCCCATCAGCTGCTGGTCTGAGGGTTGGAGGGAACCTGCGAGGGCTCTCCTCAGCGCGTGCAAACCTGCAGAAAGAGATTGAACAAATCATTAAAAGGCAGGGTTGGTCATTTTCTCCAGATCAACTTTTTTCAAGATTTTGGTGGAAATCGTTTTTAAGTCCTGACAGAAATGAATAACTCATGTTCTCTGAAAAAGGAAAGAAGAAAATCTGTCATCTGTATCAGTTGTAAGTCTGTAAAAACTTCAACCAATGTCTGCCACGAGGTACCAATCTGATGAACCAATCAGACGCCTCCCTGTCTCCCTGCTCGCTCTCTACCTCTTGCATGCACGAGCCCACACTCAAAGAGCGTCACAGATGACGGAGTTCATACTGCAACAAAAACGTCTCCTCCTTACTTTAACGCTCTGATCCAGGTCTACACTCCCTCCCCCCAACTACGCTCTGCCAATGAAAGGCGTCTGATCCAACCTGCACAACAGGGTCCTAAGACGCTGACTAGACTCTTCTCCTCTGTCGCCCCCCGGTGGTGGAATGAACTTCCAAACTCCATTGGATCTGCAGAGTCCCTCTGCACCTTTAAGAAAAAGCTAAAGACCCAGCTCTTTCATGAATACCTACTAACTTAATGATGATGATGCTTGTGTTGTACTTACTCTCTGATGTACGTCGCTTTGGATAAAAGCGTCTGCTAAGTGAATTGTAGAATTGTAGTTTATACTGCGAGTTTGTCGTTGGCTCTTGTGAGAAGTAAAATAGTCAAGTTTCCATACAATGCAGCGCTGCAGCATGTAAGTGAGGGGGCGTGGCTTTTGAGGGAGCACAGAGGGGAGGGGTTGGGTGCAGACGGCGCACTGAGGGAATGCTTCTTTCAAAATTGTGCTAGTTTTCAAAAATGACCAACCCTGCCTTTAAGTGTTTCATTAAAAAGAAAAAAAATAATCATTTATTTTGGATTTTTCTAAAAAAAAATAAAAAATAAAAAATCAAGTGAGAATCCAATAAAATAAAATAAAAAATGCTTAAACCAATATAAAAATACCTTCAGGTCAGTATAAAATGTACTAAAATGGTGAATCTGTTGGCAAATAAAATGTGTCAAATCGGATATAAACGTGGTGTTTGTTCGCCTGAAGCAGCAGCGATCATGTCTTTGTGGCTTAGGGCTTTTCATTCATTACAAACTCACATGCAACCAGTCCAACTATTCACTCAAAACATTCAGGTTCGTACACGCTGTGATGAAAAACGCCCAGTGAATGCAAATCTTCAAAATGAACACTAAATCCTCTTTTGACCGGGATGATAATTGGGTCTGCATTATTTGGTTGGAAAAGGGGAGTAGGCCGAGGGGAAGTGTAATTGAAGTGCTTAAGGTATGAATAGCCACAGCTCCAGAGATGTTAAGCATCTGAACAAAAAGGAAGACAGCAAAACAAACATGGATGTGTCAATATGAAGCAACAGCCTTTTGTTTGGCCTTGAAAAAGAGGTCATAGAAGTTTGATCTGAGGAAGAAAGATCAGTTCTGCCAAAATGTGGAGGTGACGAGTGAGCCCTGACACATAACTTTAAAAATACTTCTAAAGTAGAAATCACACACAAAAAAAAAAAAAAGTGTGTTCACACGAAGGGTGATCACACATGCACGCTCCTCCAATATCCTGCTCGCATATCTGGGAAGTGTATTCAGGGTTTCAAACGTGGTATCCATGTTATGTGACTGGCAGTTGGAGGACTTCCAAAAGTTTGATGGACATGAAACTCGTCTGGTTTAATCATTCGTACAAAAGACGAGCAGCTGTCTCAGCAAAGTGCCAAAGATACAATCCTGTGGACTTCAAATGTAGGAACAGAAGACGACATCATTTGTTATTAAGCTTTAAACTTCTTTTGCATGCACCTGCTAACGGCAAGCGATCTTTTTTCCAGAAATATCTGTAGTTGAAGAAGTTTAACCTTGTTCTTTAACTATAGAAATGGGCATGTCTGGAGCTGCAATGTCATTTGCATTTCATGATTTTTATCTATATGTGTATGTAGTCAGAGGTGTCAGAAGTATTCACATTCATTCCTCAGGTAGAAGTATAGATACTATGGTTTAAAAAGACTTCTGAAGAAGTTGAAGTATCAACTCAAGCTGTGTAAAAGTACTGGTATAAAAACTACTTAAAGTAGAAAAGTAAAAGTAATATAAGGGGAAAAAAATGCCATTAAGGACAAAAGCTTAGGCTGCACCACAGGGGTCTATAGTGCACTACCCCACCTCCCCAAAAAAACATTTTTCTAAAGGCCATAATGACTATAATGTTATACTAAAATGTTAATGTTAAAAAATTTGGGATGCACCTGTTTCAGCCGCATTTATGCCCATTGAAAATAAACGCATTTTAGTACAATGCAAATACATTAAAGAACCATATATGTGAACTACTGAGCATTAACATGTGTTTCATGGAGCGGAAGATATGATGACTAGTTGCCTATAAGTATTGTAATGGTGCAAAAAGTCTTCAGAGGCATGTTATCAACAGTCTTTACTGGAATGTAAATGTACATCCAAGCTTAGCTGCAGGAATCTGTGAGGGCAACGGATGTAAGATAACAAAACTGGACAAGAAAATTGGTGTACCCCAGGGAAGGCTTAGTAACAATTACCAAGACCAAGACCAAGACCAAGACCAAGACCAAGACCAAGACCAAGACCAAGACATTTAGGGAATTGAGACAGGACCAAGACTAAGACCAAGACCAAGACCAAGACATTTAGGGAATCGAGACAGGACCAAGACTAAGACCAAGACCAAGACCAAGACATTTAGGGAATCGAGACAGGACCAAGACCAAGACCAAGACCAAGACCAAGACCAAGACCAAGACCAAGACCAAGACCAAGACATTTAGGGATTGGGACAGAGTCAAGACTAAGACCAAGACCAAGACCAAGACATTTAGGGATTGGGACAGAGTCAAGACCAAGACCAAGACCAAGACCAAGACATTTAGGGATTGGGACAGAGTCCAGACAAGACCAAGACCAAGACCAAGACATTTAGGGATTGGGACAGAGTCAAGACCAAGACCAAGACCAAGACCAAGACATTTAGGGATTGGGACAGAGTCAAGACCAAGACCAACACCAAGACCAAGACATTTAGGGATTGGGACAGAGTCAAGACCAAGACCAAGACCAAGACCAAGACATTTAGGGATTGGGACAGAGTCAAGACCAAGACCAAGACCATAAATATCAATGAAAGAATCTTCACCAACTTGTTTGCATCAGGCGCCCTCAGACTGTAAGGGAGATAAAAATCTAACTTTTAGAAGGAGGAATTTTCCTTCTAATCACAGGACGTGGATAAAGAGCCTCAGTGGTGGTCTCGACTGGTTTTTATTTTGAATCTGGAGTCTGCCCAGTCAGAGACCTTCAAAAAGACTTGAGGACTGCAACATTAACTCCATGCCCACATCAGATAAGCCCAGCTGTGCAGTTTGACCTCCTACAGGAGAGAGAGAAGGTCAGGTCTTCTCAGAGAGGATCGACTGCTACATACAGAGAAATGATACTTCTTTAGAAAAACAGGCGCACGTCCATGTTTCCAAACCTCAGAGTTGGGTAACAGTACATTAGACACACATCCATTCCTGATGCACACACACACCACACAAAGTCTTTGCTTCCTCTTCTGAGCTCAAATGGAGGGTGGGGGGGGGGTCTGGGTCTGGGTTGGGAGTTGGAGCTGCAAAGGGCCGGAGGGGAACGGACGTGGTCCAGGGCTGGAGGCCAGAGAGCAGACGAGAGGGGATTTACGATCAGACATAACTGCATCCTGTTTATATTTTCCAGGACCCTTTCTGATGGGGGGGGGGGGGGGGCGGCACACGGACAGAGGGACAGAAAGAGAAGACGAGGAGAAAGGCAATTAACACAGGCAAGGGTTTGTCTGCTCTCCAAGTTGAGGTCAATGTGTTCCCCAGGCCCAGCTCTCCAGTATTTGATGTCTCTCTCTCTCCCACTCTTTTTACTCTTTTTTTTTTTTTTTTTCCCCCCAGAGGTCCAAACATCCCATCATTCCACCTGGCTGCAGCCTCAGCTCCTCATCTGCGTTACTGCTTCAGACCCCGCGCTGCTCAAAGTGCACAAAAACATCTGGTCTGAGAGCGGGAGAGAACGAGGGAAGACAGGACAGGATGTTGGAGGGGGGGAAGTGAAGGGTCGAGGAGAGAGAGATGGGGAGCACCAGCCACAACACCATATGCACTAAACCCCCCAAAACCGTCAGCTGAAGGTGGAGGGGTCTCGGCCTTCCTTTAAAGCTGAGAGGATGACGGACCATGGGGAAAAAAAAAACAGAGAAACAGCTGAGGGTTGGTCAGGTTCTTAAAGATAAAAGATGCTAAAGGAGAAAACCCGAAAAGGGAAGAGATGTTTTCATATCCTCTTGGACACAAAAAGTTAGACATATTTTAAGAAAGAAATGTGGTACAATCTCCAACAAAAGCTTTCAAAAAGAGGCAATACCCCGCCCCCCATTTCAAATGCAACAGCATGTGTTGGTCTTATGCAACATTATGATTTAAAAAATTGGGGTAAAAGTTGTGCCTTGTGAAATGTCTCTGTGCTTGGCTATGGAAAAGATAACATACACTTAAAGACAAACGGGAATTATTTGACGATATCTGGGGCCTATATATTAATTTTCTTCGGGATAAAGATCCGTCACATATTTTGAGCTCGGCTGGTAAAGAGTTGGCGATGTCTGTAATCGTGGTCATTTTTGCAGAAACTGTTCTAGGGCAGAACATTTGCGATTAACAAATCACCTATGGCAATGTGCTCCATTTGGTTATTTTTATTTAATACGGACAGAAATCATTTTGCAACATTTTGTCATTAAAGTTTTTTTTATTTTCTTATTATTATATTTTACTTTCCCCCCCCTTATTTTATAAATGTGTATATATGTGCATATCTTTTTTACTTTTTTTTTCTTCTCAAGAACTGCCCTCAATGTTGTGCTTTGCCTCTGGTCACTTCCTGTCAGCACCTGTGTGTCC